ATCAATCAAATCAAATTTTATTTATATAGCCCACATTTACAAAATACAGTTTGTCACATGGGGCTTCACAGGGTTGGTAACATCCTCTGTCCTTAGACCGTCAGCCAGGGTAAGGAAAAACTACCGAAAGAGAAACCCTTTCAACAGGGAGAAAAGAGAAAGGTAGAAACCTTAGGGAGAACCACAGGTGACGGATCCACTCCCTGGACGGACAGACGTGCAATAGATGTTATCAGAACATACATTGTACAAATACATAAAAACCAATGAAGAAAAAAAAGTCGTGGTAGTGGCAGTAGTCCTGTGCTCCTCCTGTTCACCGGTGGCAGCAGAACTGTAAAAGAGTGGGACCAGTTTCCTAAGTGTATACATGGTGGTCGGTATGAATATAGGACAGGACAGAAGAATAAAGTAAGACCGTAGAGTCTGTGTCCTCATTATAAGTGCAAGATGAAGTGAAATGAAATGAAATGCAATGCCCCCCAGCAGTCTAGGCCTATAGCAGCATCTTTTTAGACTGTTCTAGTCGGGGCATGTTTAATCTAATTTAGGCTATAGGCTATACTATACAAATGGGTTTTGAGTCTCACTTTAAAGGACGAGACAGAATCTGACTCTCTTACTGAGAGTGGGAGCTGGTTCCACAGGAGAGGAGCCTGGTAACTAAAAGTTCTACCACCCGTTCTATTTTTATTTATTTTAGGGATGACCAATAGATTCGAATTTTGGGAGCGCAGTGATCTATTTGGTTTGTATGGGGTAATTAAATCACAAATGTATAATGGGGCTTGATTATTTAGGGCCTTGTATGTGATTAAAAGTATTTTAAAGTCTATTCTACTTTTTACTGGGAGCCAGTGTATTGAAGCCAAGACGGGGGTTATATGTTCTCGTCTTCTAGTTCCGGTCAGTATGCGTGCTGCCGCATTCTGGACCAGTTGAAGGCTTCTTAAGGACTTATTGGGACATCCTGATAGTAGCGAATTGCAATAATCCAGCCTGGAGGTTATAAAGGCATGGATTAGTTTTTCAGAATCTGGTCGTGATAACATTTTTCTAATGGATTTAATGTTACGTAGGTGGTAGAAGGCTGTTCTACAGGTTTGGTTAATATGTTTTTGTAGTGATAAATCCTGATCAAACAGGACACCCAGGTTCCTTGCTTTACCACAGGGGACTGGGGTAGAACTACCTATGGTTATAGTTAGATTTGACAATGGTGCTCTTATATGTTTAGGCCCTAAAACTATGACCTCAGTTTTTTCTGTGTTAAGCATTAGAAAATTCTGGGTCATCCATGTCAGAATGTCTCTAAGACAATCTTGGATTTTAATTAAGGGGTTTGGGTCATCTGGCCGTACCGATACATACAATTGGGTGTCATCTGCGTAGCAATGAAAGTTTATGTTGTGCTTCCTGATGATGTTGCCTAGTGGCAGCATGTACAAAGTGACTATATTTACTTACAGTATTTAACTGTAATCAAAGGTTGGTGTACCAAA